CATAACGTGGGGAGGTATGAAAAAATGGAGAGAAAATTGAAGACTGATCAATAATTTGGAATTTTTAAATATGACAGTACGTAAGCACCTGCAAAGATGCTCGCAAACCAGCGTGAATTTAAAACATACGCTGTGATGAAATATTAGTTAGAGACCATAACTTGGGATGGTATGAAAAAATGAAGAGAAAATTGGAGATTGATTAATAATTTGGTATTTTTAAATGTGACACGTAAGCACCTGCAAAGATGCTCGCAAACCAGCGTGATTTTAAAACATACGCTGAAAGGAAATATTAGCTAGAGACCACATTGTGGGAAGGTATGAGAAAATCTATAGGTATATTTAATATCCTAAGGCCTTTTTGGGCCTCCTTCAGTTTGTGCTAATTCGATCTCGGAAACTACTGGACCGATTTTCCTCGGATTTATTTTAAATGAAAGCTCTTAGGCTGTAGACGAGCCAACATCCCTTGGTTTTTCGATTTGCGCGACCGACGTTGCAAAATTTACCTCGATTTGATAACGACATATTTGCATTTTTAACGCTGGACAGTTTGTGCTAATTCGATCTCGGAAACTACTGGACCGACTTTCCTCGGATTTATTTTAAATGAAAGCTCTTAGGCTGTAGACGTGCCATCATCCCTTGGTTTTTCGATTTGCGCGACCGACGTTGCAAAATTTACCTCGATTTGATAACGACATATTTGCATTTTTGACGCTGGACGACTCATATATGGTTGGGGGACCTCCCACCCTCTGATTTTCCGTTTCCCTCTCCAGGTAAAGCCATCCCTACCTGCCGTTAACACGTGTCACCCTTCTACTCTGGCATGGGTCCTTTGGCAGTATCACTCCCTTCCTTATGCCGTCTGACTCGGAACACCTACTACGCATTTCCTCCGTCGCATTGCTCATAATCAGTTCTCGGTTTGTCCAGGTTTCTTATTAGTACGTCCAGAGTTTTACTTTCTTGATTTTGTCATTAGTTTATTTACATGAAAATTACTTAATTTTGATGTGTATTTTTCAGAAGATAATTTTCCTTTTTACGGCAGCACAGGTTTTAAAAATAATTAACTTTTTTACAGCAGCTCGTGTGTTTTTCCAAGAGAATCGGTAATTAATGTTCACCCTTTCGCACCGTTAAATTTTCACAAAGTGTTTTGATTTTATTTTCCAGGAGTGTTTTTCATTTTTCAAAGATGTTTCTTTTTCTAGAAGTAGGTGGTTATCATTATTAGTTTCTTCTTATTCTATGTTTTTGAATTTATCAATTTGCTTCCAGGAAGTCCACTAATTATTCGTAGTAGCAATATTTGGCTCGCGAAGCGAGCCAACATTCACTCGCGGAGCGAGTGACTGGGGGTCCAGGGGGCGAAGCCACCGGCTAGCGGCGCAAGCGAGCGTAGCGAGCTGAAGCAGCTAGTGAAGAAAATATTTTACAAAAAAAAAGTATGATTTCTGGAGTTTGATTAATTATTTAGAATTTTTATATGAATGACACGTAAGCAGCTAAAAAGGATTATGTAGCATCACGTCCATGTTATTGGACTCCATGATCACCCTTGATATATTTGCCTGCTCATCTCCATGCTTATCGCTAAACTGCTCACTTCATTGCTTGAGCATGGAGTCCAATAGCAAGTAGATTAGTAGACGTCTCTCAGTTTTAAAGTTCATCATGACAGAAACTCGTATACTTTTCTTATCTGATCCAACTTGAACTAACCTAACCTACCTTAACTTAACCTAACCTAACCAATGCAAAATTTTTAAAGAAAAAACACTTTTGTTCATCTTTATTTCACAAAAATTGTCTTAAAAAAATTGTGGACCATATGCTCGTGTGTTGTCAAAGAATACCTGCATCTCACAATTTTGGACGCTAGGCTCACTTCCATTTTTCTAAAAAAGTATTCCTTATTAAAGTGTGTTGAAAGAAGACAATTTAAGTAATTTATGTGGCAATGTCGCTTAATGCAACGCCATGTTCTAAAGTCGGCAATTTTTTTCATATCGATGCAGGCCAAGCCGTTTCCGCCGCGACGCTGTTTGCTAGTTAGTCCTGTAGAAGACCTCACCGTCTCATGATGTGAACTAATAATAAATCAGTGTCTCTTTCCATACATATTGTGTAATATTTCACCATTCGATCCAAAATATCAACAGGTTATGGGCCCAGGTGATTGCTACAAGTGCGAAAAAATGAAAATAAAACTAAAAACATTATTTTGAAAATATTCGAAAATATTCGCGTGTGTCGAAATTGAGTTCGTCGAGTCCGACGTGATGGCGGAGCGCTGCATATTCATTCGTGTTCGCGCATGTGTGAATCGTGCAGCTGGTTCTCGTTTCTGGAAAATCCTCTTGGAATAAGTGTAAGTGTCTATAGCTGCTATGGGGTGATTCAACGACGAGGAAGTGATAATGCGAAATGATCTTGATGTTAACGACATGACGCTGTATGGATTGTTCGTCGTATTAGTGGTATTCTTGGGGCTGTATAACGTCAGGCGCAAGAGTAAAAAACTCAAGGACGAACTAGCGGTAGTGCGACGATCTCGGGTTATCTGAATTGAATGATTCGAGCGGGGTGTGTTAACAATTGAGAACGCTACAAATCAAAAACAACAATAATAAAAACTCACAAACAAATAAAAATCGCGGAAATAAGTGCGGATAAAAGAACTCATAAAAAATAAAAAATAAAAAAAAAAAAAAAAACAAAATAAAAATAAAAACCAGTTAAAAAATTGAAAACTTGATAAAATAAAACCTCATAAAATTCCGAAAGTCTAAGAATCAAATAAAAGTAAATATGGAGTCGATACTGAACAAAGCTGGATATATAGATATCACAAAACTCAAGGGGTCTTCCAACTATCAGATATGGAAGTTTGAAGCCCGGCTATTCCTCGAGGCTGGGGGACTATGTAATATTGTGAGTGGGCAGGAAACAAAGCCCCTTGCTTACGAAGAAAAACAGAAGAAATGGTTGTCGAATGACGCGGCAGCGAAAAAGATAATAATCACGACAATTGAAAAAACTCTGCTGACAAACATTCTGACCTGTGAGACATCGGCTCAAATGTGGGCAACACTTAAAAACATTTATGGATATAATGCCGAGCAAGAAAAGAGCACCTTGTACCGTGAATTTTATGGTGTGACCTACACGAAAGGCGCGGACGTTATGAGTCATGTGGCAAACTTAGAGAACCTTTCTGCTCAGTTAGAGGGGATAGATCATCACACTCTTAAAACTGAAATGCTAAGAAATAAAATTTTGCAGTCGCTGCCCGATAGCTGGAAAGCCTTTGTGACAGGGTTCGATTTTCTGCCTGAGGCGCATAAAACTGTCAAAACCCTTAAAAATCGCATAGTTTTGGAACAAAGTAAACATAAAGCTGAACAGAAGGAAGAACCAGTTGCATTCTTCGGTAGCCAAGAAAAGAGAAGGTGCCACCGGTGCAAAAGGCCTGGACATTTACGACGCGACTGCAAGGTCAAGTTAAACGGCAAGTCCGATAAAAAGGTTGATGACTTATCCTACGGTGAAGCGAAAAACAGTGGAGTGCAATGTGGAATTTGCAAAAAATTCAATCATCCAGAAAGTGCATGCTTTTTCAGAAATAAAAATAATAATGTGAAAAGAAGCTCAAACAGTGATAAGGCTGTATCTTTCTTGGCCTTACACGAGGAACCTATGGAAGAAGTATGGATCATGGACTCTGGATGCACGACGCATATCACGAATGATTGTACGTACTGTTGTGTTCAATTGAGTCAGCGGACAAACGCGTAGCTAATGCAAAGGAAGGGCATGACTAAAAGTTGACATAAAAGGAAAACTCCGCGCTGATGAGTGCGTCTTGGAAGAAGTGCTGTATTCTCGAGACGTGGTTGCGAATCTCTTATCCGAGAATGCGATTGAAGTGCGCGAAAAATCAGGGCCTCATAGCGCTGCACAGAATTTTCCAGAAACGCGTCATTTCGACGCATTAGAGCTTCGAAAAAGTTTCGGACTTTCGAGGCTCCTTGCTGGGTAGGCAAATTTTACTGCAAGGACGTAAGAAACTTGCCTACTGAGCAAGGGGCTTCGAAAATCTCGAAGCTGTCGCGACGGATTCATCCTTCAGAGTTTTGAAGCCCCTTGCTACGTAGGCAATTTCCTTAAGTCCCTGCAGTAAAATTTGCCTACTCAGCAAGGAGCTTCGAAAATCCGAAACTTTTTCGAACCTCTGTTGCGTCGAAATGACGCGTTTCTGGAAAATTTTGTGCAGCGCTATGAGGCCCTGATTTTTCGCGCTCTTTCACTTGGTGTAATCCGTTTTTCCAAATATCATCTACCAAAAAAGTTCTCGCAATTTTAAAATTCAGGAATGCTCGTTACGTCATTTTCCGAAGAGGTACGTCCTTGAAAACACAAAAAATGAACAGTGCGCTGGAAAATACCCCCTTACACCAAGTTTCAGCTACTTACGACTAAATAACGAGGAGTTACATTAATTTGAAAGAGAAAAAATGGCAACTTTGGATGCGCATAGCTCACTTACTAGGCGTTTTCGGGCATATGTGCATCGGAAAAAATAGTCATATTTTGAGCCGAAAAATCGACCCTAGAAGTTAAGTACGTTAACTTCTGGACACCCTGTATAATTGGGCCACCCTTGTGTTGGTATATTGGTGTACATTCGATTATCCAAACCGGTCAAGACCCAATTAGTTCAGATAATCGGTCCCTAGTGGAAGTCAGCCTTGTGCAGGTCCGTGCGGCGGAAGGCTAGGTCCGTGCAAGTCCCCGTCACCTCCCGTGAGCCCGTGCAGAGGGAAGCGAAACAAAGGCATAATTTCGGGAATCCCATCCTTCGCAGATGGCTGCACGAGGTGACGGGGACTTGCACGGACCTAGCCTTCCGCCGCACGGACCTGCACAAGGCTGACTTCCACTAGGGCTACTGTGCTGCATTGCATTAAGATATTGTGCATGTTTACCGAATTGTGAATGGTTTATCAAACAAAATGAACGAGAGGGCTATTGTTACAGCTTTACGGCAAGTAGTTACGGTGACGGCTGTTAGAGCATCACATGTTCTGACCAATGTCAGGACGATTTGGATTCCAAGATACCCTGATATAGAAAAAAGAAAAGCGTAGAAATATACAGATGGTTTCTGAAAAATAAAAAAAAAATTGGTATTAACTTAAAATTAAAAAATTCTGTAAATAAAAGTTTCCTCCTATAAAGTCTCTATCTTATACATTCCAAAGCAGTTAGATCATTGATGCAAGTGACAAGGTTGAAAAAGTTGTTGAGGGCCTTTCATAACCTATGTCACAAGTCAGCTAGAAGAGGGATGTCTAGTCCAAAGTGAGACATATAACGTGGAAGTTAGAAGAAATGTGACAATATGTGACGTCAGAGATACATCTGTGTAGAGACTTTCTTTTCTGGCACAGAACCCTGTACCATCCTCATGGGAATTTTCCCCCGGTCAAATCTGATAAAACTTTGATATGTTGCTCAGCTGGTCATACTGATCCAAGGCTCTCACGGGCCGAAACAGATCCTATGGGTGGTTTTTGAGATATCCGCCGTTTTATGTGCGTGAACGGAGGTCCCGTCGGCCAGACCACTATGCGGCACTACTCGTACCCTTTCCTTCCAGTCCACTTCGGCTTCTCTCCGCTTCTCCGCCACCCATACCCGATACTCGGACTCCGTTGCTCATGAGGCTTGAGGTGATAGGATCCCCCCGATAAGACCACGCGGGCCGGTAACGATGAGCAAAGTCTCGTGAACGTCGGAGTCAAAGTATCGGGTATGAGTGGCGGAGAAGCGGAGAGGGGCCGAAGTGGACTGGAAGGGAGGGGTGCGAGCAGGGCCGGATTTACCTATAGGGCACTGGGACACTTGCCCATAGCGGCAAATTTTGAGGGGCGGCAAATTTTGGCACTGGATTAATTGAAAGTTAAAGCGAGAAAAAAGGAAAAAATGGAGACAGAGACGGAGCGAAGTGAAAAGATGAGCGGCAAAATGTATGAAGGAAGAGAGTTGACGCTTGACGGGAGTGGCAAAGCTGCCGCTCCTTAGGTCCGGCCTTGAGCGCTAGGATGATCGTTCGTTGGAGTGATACTAAACAACACGGCAATTTTAAACATCGAGGCAGACTTGATAATCAATTTAGACGTTGATGCTCTGGTTGACAGCTTTGCTAAACTGAAAACCCGGAGAAAAACTTTTTAACCTGATCTTCCGAAAATACATTGCAACTAATACATTGAGCTACACTAGCTTCAACTTTGTCTCCACATTTTATTATTGTCTCATCCATCCATTCCATTTTATATATTCGCGGCGCATTTTGAAGCAGCTACGCGCACGCGCCCAGGCGGCGCACGAGGGGGGGGGGAAGATGAGATGGCGTGGGAAGTTGGGAGTGCGGAGAGGGGGAGGGGGAGGAGGGGATACTGTTGACAATATAGTGGCGAAATATTGCAGACCCAGGGGCGGCAAAATGTAGCTTGCCCAGGGGCGGCACAAAGCTAAATCCGGCCCTGGGTGCGAGTAGCGCTGCACAATGGTACGGCCGGCGGGATCTCCGTTCAAGCATATAAAACTGCGAATACCTCAAAAACCGCACATGAGATCTCTTCCGGCCGGTGAGAGCTTTGGATCAGAATGACTAACTGAGCAACTTATCAAAGTTTCATCAGATTTGACCGGGAGAGGGGGGGGGGAAGTTCCCATGAGGATGGTGCGGGGTTCTTTCAAACTGATTCGGCGGGAATATTGGCAAAAACTGCTGAGTTTGATCATAAAATGAAGGGAGAGGGATATCTACTAAAGTGTCCATACTTAATTTTTTAGGAATAAGGGGGCGTGACGGGACTTTTGTCACGTCACCTTAAGTAAAGTTAGATTAGGGAACCACTCACATAATTTAGTCTATTTTGTTTAGATTTTAGTTTTGAATAGGGTCTGTAAACTTCATTACTATTTGAGATATTAAATAATATTAAATTTTTAATCATCGATTCCTATGGCCGCATACGTGGCAGAACCGTGCATCACTGACGCGCTCTGTAGGCACGGTGGAGGCGCAGTGAGTCACCCACTCGACCTAACTTAACCTGCCGGCGCGCCGCCGTTGCACTCTATAGGAGCGATTGCGAACCCATGAATGACTAGCTGGCTTGTGAACGACGGCTAATGGGGTAAAAAAAAGCAGTTATCAAATTGCGGTTTGTGTGAGACTATTTATTGTCCTAGTAATTACTCTTAGGACAAGATCAAATTGAGCTTTGCAACTTAACATTTGATGCCGATGGAGCATATTTAAAACAAGGGGGATATGCCCTCTGGCCGCCACGCGGCTCGACCCCCAGAGGGCGCTTCGTCCTCTCTTAGGCCTATTTCGACAAAAGAACGAACAAAAAAAATGAAAACATTTTTATACCCGACTCTCATTCGTCCAATCTCCCTCTAGTCAGGGAGAAATACGGGAAAAAAGGACTTAACCCGGAACAAATTGCATAACAATTTATTCCTGTGTAAACATCATCAGTAGGTCCTCCTGAACAATATACAAAAAGTTTTCCACGTTCCGACCCCGGAACACCCCCCAAAATGACGAAAATTCAAAATGGCGGCCATAAAAAGGGCCTATGGGATTTCGGTTTTTTAAAATGTTCCTACAGTGTCATGTGAGGTATCATTTCCTATGTAATTTTGGTCGCAGATTTCATTTCTGAAGTCCAAAAAGCCCCTAGATCAAAGGGGGTGACCCAAATCCAAGATGGCGGCTAAATTTGAAAGACAGGAGGGTGAATTTTTTCGATTTTTACCTAAAAAATGAGAGTGAGGTGCATCAATTCTTGTGACATTTTGGTTGTAAATTTCATGTCTCAAGTCAAAACAGTCCCCCTGCTTATAGGGAGTGCCCGAAATTTAAGATGGTGGCTAAATTTGAAAGGCGGAAGGGTGCATTTTTGAAAAAAAAATTCACCGAACAAGGCCAGGAAGGTGACTATTCCGTGTATTTCTAGTCGAAAAGTCTAAATTAAACGTAAAAGATGAATTTTACTCATGAGTGAGACGTGTCATGCAAACGGTATGAAAATAATTTAATAGGAGCACCCAGTGAGTTATTTTTGCTCATTTTTAAAGGCATCAATTCTCAATCAAGATGAGGAGATTGAACGTGACGGATCTACTTTAGTCAATATGGGAGAAAATCTGAAAGAGCGTGCTGATTCAAATTCTGTGTCAGGCTTGTCAGGTCCACCTCGGGTTTCTCCGAGTTTTCACAGTTGGAGTCCGAGTCTTCACAACTTCTGCTCTTGCGGAGGTCCGGGCATGATATTACAAGTACACCGCATGGTGTCAAACCCTTTCTTAAAATTACACCCGAAGATTTTAATTGAGCACCGATTCCGGAGCAGGAGGCAAGTCAGTAGAAAATGGAATGAAGATCGTTGTTTTCATTCATTCATCCCCATTGACAAGCATCTGGATCGGCTTATCCTTCATCAATTGGTTTCGAAAGTAGTTCCTAAATTGGTGGTGCTTCATGGCTGATAATGTCGGAATTAATTTCTCTACTTGTGACGAAGATTTTTTAAGCTGCTAAATTTT